AGGAAGGCCAAAGACCTGGAGGTTACACAGAAGCCTCATGCCTCTGTATTCTCGACATTTCCTTTGAGAAAAGAAATGGCAGGCCCTGTACGTGCCAAGCAACAAATGACATCATAAAGAATAGAAGAATTTGGGGCAGCTAGGTGGTGCAATGGATAGAGCATTGGCCCTGGACTCAGAAGGACCTGAGTTCAAATCCGGCCTTAGACCAGACAATTGACACTTACTAGCTATATGACCCTGGGCAAGTTACTTAACCCCAACTGCCTCACCATCCCCCCCCTTGCAAAAAAAATAGAAGAATTTATATTTTAATGGAAAGGAAAGACTTGTTATTAGTGTGGAAGCAATTCCTGAGTCAGCTAAAGTCAACCCACTGACTTGTGTCAGAGCTAAGATTCAGAAGCAATGAAAAAGAAGACTAATAATGAGAAAAAGATACTACACAGACTTGAAACAACTTAACCCTGTACAATGTAAACAAGACAGTCAACTTATCAAGCACCTACTACGTGCCAGGCACTGCGTTAGGCGCAGGGACACAGAGAAAGGCAAAAGGCTATCCAAGCTCACAAAAAGCTCACAGTGCAATGGGGGAGGGCAGCCCACATGCAAACAACTATGGGATACTAGAAATACTGGAAAAAATGGAGGATAATCACCGGAGGGAAGGCACTAGTGTCAAGGAGGATTGGGAAAGGTTTCCTGCAGAAGGTGGGATCTCAGCTGGGATTCCAAGGAAGCTGGGAGGCAGGGATGAGGAGGGTGAGCAGTCTGTGCTGAGGGGACAGCGGTGACAATGCCCAGACGTCAGGGGGAGGAGCGGCAAGAAAGCCAACGTCACGGGATCCCAGAGTATGGGTGGGGGCAGAGGAAGAAAGTGCAGGGCAGCGGCAGGTTAGGAGGGGCTTTGAATGTCCACCAGGACATTTTATATTTGATCCTGGAGGTGACAGGGAGCCACTGGAGTTTAGCAAATGAGGGGATGGTGGTGATATTTTGAGATCTACACTATAGGAATAATGATGATGATGATGAAAGCTAACATATAGTACCCTACAGGCACTGTGCTAAGTAAGCCCTTTACAATTATCTCATTTGATCCTCACAACAGCCCTCAGAAGTGGGTGTTATTATTATCCCCATTTTATAGATGAGGAAAGAAGCAAATAGAGGTAAAGTGACTTGGCCAGGGTCACACAATTAGTAAATGTCTAAAGCTACATTAGAACTCAGGTCTTCCCAGCTCCAGGGTCAGCACTCTACAAACTCTGCCATCTAGCCGAGTGGAGGATGGTCTGGAGAGACTCAAGGCAGGCAGACCCTGCATCAGCTACTGCAATAGTCCAAGAGTGAGGTGATAAGGGCCTGCCCTGGAGGGGCAGTAGCAACGTCAGAGGAGAAAAGGGGAACTGTAACAGAGATGCTACGACAGCACTTGGCGACTGACTGATTAGAGACAATGGGATGAAAGTGAGGAAACCCTACATTCCAAGCCTGGGGTACCAGTAGGAAGATGGTACCCTGGACTATGACAGGGAACTTCTGAAGAGGAAAAAGGTGACACGCCCAGTTTAAGACATCTAACTAGAGATTCATCTAACAGGCAGTTGGAGGTGCCAGATGAGGTCAGCAGAGAGGCTGGGGCTAATAAGTAGATCTGAGGATCATCAGCATAGAGATTTTAATGAAAACCACAGGAACTAGTAAGATCACCAAGTGAAAAAGCAAGGCATGAGAAGAGGGCCGGGGACAGGGTCCTGAGAAACACCCACGGTCATTGGGCGTGACCTGACTGAAGATCCAGCAAAGGAGACTTGAGGAGAGGTCAGGTAGAGAGAAAGAAAACCAGGACAGAGCAGTGTTGGAAAAACCTAGAGAGAAGACAGAGTCAAGGAGAAGGGGGTGACTGACAGTGTCAGAGGCCGCAGAGAGGCCAAGATGAGGAGTGAGAAGAGGTCATTGGAGCTGATGATTAAGAGATCCTGGGTAACCCTGGAGAGGGCAGCTCTATTTGAAGGATGAGGTCAGAAGCCAGACTGTTCAGAAGAGAACAAGAGGAAGGGATACAGAGGCATTGATTATAAGCAGTCACATAAGCCAGGAGACGTGTGGAATAACAGCTAGTGGGGATGCATGGATGAACAGGCCTTTTGAGGATGGAAGAGCAGTACCAAAGCAGCTAGTAGACAGGGAAACAAGGAAGATAGTAAGAGAATGGGACGATAGCAGGGGCAACCTGCTGGAGAAGCTGGGCTGGGCTGGGTCATTTTGCACATGCGGGGTGTTTGGACAGGGAGAAAGGTCATCTCTTCATCAGAGACAGGGCTGAAGGTAGAGACAGTGACAGAAGGCCTCTATCTAGCTGACTGACAGGAGGAAGGGCCAACTGGAAGCCCTCAGAGAATGGCCTCTTTTTTTTCAGTGAAATATAAAGCGAGGTTCTCAGCTGAATGGGGGGAGGATGGAAGGACAAAAAGGTCTGGAAGAGCTGGCCAGTGAGTGGGAGTTAATAAGGGAGGTGTAAGAGGATTGTCTTGCCATGGCAAGGGCCCAGTTGAGATTACATCACACCAATGTGCAGTGGACTCAGTCTGCAGTTCTGTGATTTTCTCCAGCTTTGTTCAGGAGTACATGAATAGGAGAGGAGTCAACACATGGAGGCAGTAGTCCAAGGCTAGGGATTGCCAGGGAAAAGTCAGGATAAAGGAGCAGGGGGCCAGAGCTAAACTGGTTCACCAAAGGGGTCAAGATGGAGAAGGCAGTAGATCCAAAGCATGACACATATCTGGGTAGCTGAGGTGTGGTAGAGGAGTAGGTCACAGTCAATGAGTAACTTGAAGAGCTGTGAGATTATGGTGTTTGAGGGAGAATCAATACACAGGCTGATGTGCCTAGGATGAGGGCAGGAGCTGGGGAGGAGAGTGGCTGTGAGCCAGGCACTGAACTCACTGAGGAAAGAAGGGGAATGTCCTGGAGGTCTGTAGACAAGAGCACCAGAATCTGAACTGAATGGTTAAAATGGATGGACTTAGTGAGCCTCAAAGGAGGAGAGGTGATGAGGGATGCTGGGAGAGAGGGACCCTGGAAGTGACAATGGGGGGTACCCCAACAACTCCACCTTGACCAAGAGCCAAGGAGAATGAGTAACTTGGTAACTTGGAAATGGAGGCCAAGAAGGCTGTGCCATCAGGAGGCAGCCAGATCTCAGGGAGAGCCAGAAGATGGAAAGAAAGGAAAAGATTTAGGATGAACAGAAGTCCAGAGAGTAGGGGACAGAGAATGGGGTTTGAATAGCTGGGAGTTTAGAATCCCAAGGGAGAGGAGACTGGGTGGGAGTTTACTAATTACCAATGATTAAGTTCAGGTGGGTTATTAACACCACTGGGGCGTGGTCTCAGGATACAGTCCTCTAAGGCTATTAGGCAGCTCAGGTGAGGGGAGCCGATGGAATCCAGTGTCTCTCCTTTCCCTACAGGTAAGTCCTCTGCCTGGAGGCAGAGAAAGAAGGACAGGTCCTCTGCAATTAGGAAGAGGCCAACCTACAAGACCAGCACTCAGAAATGGGAAACGGACAACAGAAATGATGCTAACATCAACACCAATAATTTTCTACATAAGTTCAGTCAATGTAAATTCATTGTCACAAGGAGGGCAGAGAAGAAGGGCTGGCCCATGGCCAGAGGGCGGGTGGGCAGGCAGGCTGACAGTATGCTCCACTGAGGGGAGGGTTTGGCCAAGCTCAAGGACGTGGAACCAATTCAGCAAACAACTGCGGGCCCTGATGCCTGGTCCTGGGGAAGAAACAGTTTAGCTAAGATGTGGCCCTTGCTTTCATGGGGCCCCTAACCTCTAGGGGAAATAAGATACAGATGCAGGCATTATGGGCAAGTAAATAAAGAGACAGAGGAAAACACTCCCTTCCCATTTGCCCCCACCCCAGGCCTAAGGGGAAGGCCTTCAGTAAGCTCCCATTTCTTTAGTCCTCTAAGGTTTGCTTCTCTGTGAGCTAGGGGATTCCAGGGTAGACATCCTCCTGTTACAGACGAAGGGCCAGTGTGTGCCCCTTTAAGTCAGTCACTATGGATTTATTAAGCAGCTATGATGTGCCACACCCAGGGCTATCAAAGAAAGGCAAAAGGCCAGGCCCTTCCTTCAAGGAGCTCACGCTCTGATGGGGGCCAACAATGAGGTCCCTATAAGATGTACAAGGGAAACCAGAGGTAATCCCCAAGAGGAGGCCCTGGGGGGAAGGCCTTGGGCAGAAGGTGGGGTTTGGGCCAGGAGGTAGAGATGAGGAGAGGGAGCATTCCAGGCACCGGACACAGCCAGTGCAAACACCCACAGCAAGGCCACTGGGCTGGGCTGTAGAGTACATGGAGGAGAGTGAAGTGTAAGAGGGTTGGGAAAGCAGAACGGTGACAGGGTGTGAAGGGCTTTCAAAGCTAAACATGATTTTATATTTGATCCTGGATGTCACAGGGAGCCCAGAGTGCTGGCTTCTTCCCTCCTTCCTCCCTTCCTCTCTTCCTTCCTTCTGAGCAGGGGGATGACATGGTTGGACCTAAATTTCAGAACAATTGCTTCAGCAGATGTGTGTGGGATGAACTAGAGAAGGGAGACCTGAGGCAGGGAGACCAACCTGAGAGCTCCTGCCATACAGCGGGTGTGAATGGATGGACGGTGGAGGACGTGTGTGTGTGGGGGGGGAACGTATACAAGAGATGGAAAGGGAGAGACAGAGGACAGAGAAGGATGGATGGATAGACAGATGAATGGATGGATAGAGATAGATAGATAGACAGACAGACATGATAGAGTGAGTGACTGAGCACGTATTAAGCCTTTACTATGTGCCAATCCATAGACGTTGGTGAAGGTAGAAATGATATGGGAATCAGAAAAACATGAGAAAAACAATTCGAGATTTTAGGTCTCTATATCAGCTCTAACCATGGTTTTTACGAATCTAGAGTTCCCAGGAAGCTGTATACACTTACATATAGATATCTTTGATGAGCCCCGTGTGATTTCAATACATTTTTTACCCGCTCGTGTATTTCATCTGAGTTTGAAGGTGAGCACCAATCTGAATGATATCTGCAGACATAAATGACAGAGAGAGATGATTTGTAGACAAGGTGGGGGCGGGGAGGCAGGTAGGGAACCCTTTCCAAACCCCACATGTCTGTTACAGACAGCTATTTCCCAGCCCCTTCTCCACAACTGATGATACGGTCAAGATCCAAAAAGATTGCAAAAAAAGCCTAGTATTTGGGCCAAATCTCAAAAGACATAATATAACTTAGAGGAATTTCTTCCATTTGGGTGCCAAAAAATTAAATGCCTAAGCACCGCATGGAGGAGTCACAGCCAGCCAAGTGTTGGAAGGGGTGATGAGGAAGTGGGATTGACCTTGTTCTGACTCCCCGGGACAGAATGAGGACCGGTGGGGCAGCACGCCCCGGCACAGGCTGCCTTGGGAAGTAGGGGCTCCCCAGGAAGGGAGCTCAGAGCCAAATGCCATTCTGGGAGGCAGCGGTCAATGTGAAGAAGGCAGGAAGAAGGGACAGGAGGGGGCTGAGGGGCCCAGCCGAGAGCGGCTGAGGAGCAGCCCTACTAGGTGCTCAGTAGGACGGGTTCTCGGCTCCCTGTCCCTGGACGACCGTGTTCAGTTCTGGGGTCCACATTTGAGGAAAGATAAGCAATGATGAGCTGGAGGGCGACCAGGAGGGGTGTAGGGTGGGAGTGGGCATTAGAGCCCATGAGAGACAAGCATCAGCTGGAGGACAGAGGAGTGTTTGCCCTGGCGAAGAAAAGGCACCATCAGCTGGCTGGGAGCCAGGACCTGAGCCATGCTCCCCACTGCCCAGAGGGTGCTGGGCCAGGCCAATCCACCTGCTGCCTCCTTCCCCTGGAGGTTTCCCAACCAGACAACAAAGCGAGGGCCACCACAGTGCCAGATGTGCCCCAACAACAATACTTGGGAGGGCTGGCTAGACACAAGTCGATGACCGCGAACCTTCTGATCATCTGCTTTATCAGAAGACATGACACTACACTGCCTGGAAGCATACTCCCACCCCCTCCCATTCTCTCCATGCCTATGACCCCCAAACTCTGGCCTCCACAGAACAAGAACAGAGATAATATCTAGCATTTGCAAAACTCTACTGATGTATTATTTGATGCATCTAACAACCCTGTGAAGGAGATGCTGTTATTTACCCCCATTTTACAGAAGAGGTGCTGAGAATTTTAGTGACTCGCCAAGGGTCACACAGCTAGTAAGTGTCTGAGGCAGGATTTGAACTCGGGTCTTCCTGACTCCCAAATCCAGCACCTGTCCACTCTCCTCAAACCTTCCTCCCCAATGTCCCATTCCATTTCTACCCACTCCTTTCGCTATGCCCTCTGCAATGCTGGCTCCATGTTTAGCACATTTCTTTTCATCGTTCATCTTTCTCGCTCCTCCCATTTTCTTGCACTTCTGAGATCTGGCTCCCTCCAGATGACATGACTTCCCTTGCCTCCTTCTTTAGCACTGGTTCCATTTTCATTCATCCTCTCAACTCATGGGGGTGGGGGTGGGGTCTGAATACCCTTGGCTCTCTACTGCCCTCCCTATGCCACCAACACTCAGCAATCATGGTTGGCCATTATCTACTGACCCTTAGCACACTCTCCCTCCTTTCTCAATGAGTTCAGTGCTTGGCTCACAGCTTTCCTCTCCACCCCAATCCCTTTGGTCATTCTAGGGGACTTCAACACACATTTTTATGTACCTTTAAATATCCCAATGAACTCAAGTCTCATGGCCTACTCCTCTTCTCTATTTCAGCTCTCTACAGGGATGGTCTCACCATCAAGAGTTCTACTTCCATGTTCGTAATCCTTTATCCCTCCATCTCTTCCTAGGCTTCACTCCCCCTAAATCTACTCTATAATCCTTGTACTGTGCTAAGTCATCGTCCTGCTAGTGCTACACACTCTTCTCTTCTCAATCTGGCCCATCGGTGAACCACTACACTATTGATGACCATGTCTTGGACCAAGCTCCAACCCTGGATTGCTCCCATCATCCACTCCTTCACTCTCATTCACATGTTGCTTATGGGCACTGGAGGAAATCACAAAAACTGTTCCGACTGGATCCAGTCTCAAAACTGGGCCCTCACCATAACTAGGCAACCTCCTACTTAATTGTTTCCCTATCTCACTCTCCACAGCAGCTACTCCAAATCTTTTCTTCTCTCCTTACCCTTCTTATATGTCACCAAAAAATTGGGACCATTCATAGAGAATTCCTCTTCACACATTCCTCTGACATCACCCCTCACTCTCTTCTCCTACAGTCTCTGATGATAAGGTAGCCTTTCTGCTTGTCAAGGTCACCCCCGTACATGTACCCATGAGCCCATCTTCTCCAGCAGACTGCCCCCACTCTTGTCCTTCCCCCTTCTCTAATATTTAACCTCTAACCTCTCTGTATCTACTGGTTCCTTCCGTACTGCCTATAAACCAATTCTCCCCCTCCTCCCATTTGTAAATCCTCATTAGGTCTTCCCATCTCCCTCTGCTATCTTCCTATAATTCCTGTCCTCTTCTCAGTTAAATTCCTTCAAAACGCTATGGAGAGTT